GCTGTATATCTCTGAGGATCTGGGATCTAGGGACTTAGCTGTATATCTCTGAGGATCTGGGATCTAGGGACTTAGCTGTATATCTCTGAGGATCTTGGATCTAGGGACTTGCATTTTTGTCTGAGCCATAGGAGAAGGCTCTTAGATGCTGTGGCCTTTTTACTTGGGAGAGAGATGCTTTGAGGAGGCTTGGGAACCTCAAGGACTCTGAAGTCAGAAGACTAGGCAGGGAGCTCTCAGCTTGAGACCTCAGGTGCTTGGAAAAGAGATAGTTCTCACCTCCCAGGACTGGAAAAATCAGCTGTCTGTGGGACTGAATGAAATAAAACAGAGTATCTCAGAACCAAGTTGTTTAGACAAGTGGAAAGCTGCTTTCTCAGCAGGAGCTGCTATTCATCATGCCAGCAAGTCTGGAGGTCCTTAACACCCTCTTGTTCTGCCCCACTCCTTTAGACGCTGAACACAGACCCTGTCAACTACTAGGTAGGTCTCATCTTGCCCTGTTGTACTTACCTCAAGGTGCAGGATGAGATTCCCTGAATCTCAAGTATGTGGAGAACACTGTCCGTGAGGGGCCTCAAAATCTCATCCCCCTCCCTCTACAAGGCTACCAGCGTGGTCCTCCTGAAGCACAAATCTGCCCTCATCATCCTTGTGCTTTAAGCACCTCCCTCCTTCCCTCTAGACCAACCTGGCCTCTCCCAGTCCACCTCTAGTGACACTCCTGTCCCCACCTTTCTATCAGTTAGGTAGATAGACTGAGCCGCAGTGTAATTCTGTGACACTTCTCATATTCCGCCTATCTGGACTTTCACTGGCACTTTTCGCTCTATGGCTTACCTTTCCTGTCTCTCCTCACCTGGAAAATGCCATCTCTCAGTGGGGGTTGTAGCTCCAGGCAGAGCGCTCGCCTAGCACATGGGAGGCACTGGGTTCAACCCTCAGCACCACATAAAAATAAAATAAAAATATTGTGTCCACCTAAAACAAAACAAAACAAAAAAATGCCATCTCCTCCTACCAGGCTGGGCCCTTTGGCCAAGCCTCCCCTAGGCCTGCAGGACCACCAAAGAGATCTCTTGACTACTCCATAATGACTTCCTGAGAATGGTTATGGATCTCTCTAGTTTCAGTTTGCTCAACTAGAAAATGCAAACTATCATATTTGTGTCTTAGTGTTGCAGTAAGGATTAAATGAGATACAGTTGTCTCTTGGTATCCATGAGGCATCAATTTTGAGGTCCATTCACCTTGGATTCCAACATCCACAGATGCTCAAGCCGCTTATATAAAATGGTGTCGTATTTGCAGATAACCTATACTCCTCCAGCATACTTTAAATCATCTCTAGATTACTTTTAATAATATAAGTGCTATGTAAGTTGCTTTACTATATGTTATAGGGAATGACAAGAAATTAAGTCTACTCTGCTGGGCACTGTAATCCTAGCAGTTCAGGAGGCTGAGGCAGGAGGATCACAAGTTTGAAGTCAGCCTCAGCAACTTAGTAAGGCCCTAAGCAACTTAGCAAGATTCTGTTTCCAAAAATAAATAAATAAATAAATGGGCTGAGGATATAGCTCAATAGTTAAGCATCCCTTCAATCCCTGAAAGAAAGGGGGGGGGATCTATTTATAGTCAGTACAGAATAAAAAAGTATTTTCAATCTATAGGTGTTTGAATCCACAGAAGAAGAACCTGTGACTATGGAGGGCTCATTGTATTCATGATTTATGCTCAGCACAGTGCCTGGCATCCAGAGACAAAGCTATGAGCTCCTGTTATTAATAGACATGCACCATTCGTTAAGTTTGATATCAGTAATGTTAAAAGGTAACCCCCTTAGATCAATTAAGTTTCGTAGAGTTGGGGCTGGGGGTGTAGCTTAGTGATAGAGTGATTGCTTAGGTACATAAGGCCTGGTTTGATCTCCAGAACAGCAAAATAAATAAATAAGAATTCTGTAGAGTTTGTTTAGGCAAAGTGAAATAAAAATAATTCAAGAATTGGTCGTTCTGAGAATTCCAAGCAACAACATGATCATCTAAAATTTATAGTTACTCAGGAAGCTCAGGAAGGAGGATTGCTATGTTGCGGCCAGCCTCAGCAACTTAGCAAGGTCCTCAGCAACTTGGTGACCCTCTCTCAAAATAAAATTTAAAAGGCTGGGGAATGTAGCTTAGTAGCACAGTAAGTGCCACCAGGTTAATCCCCAGTAATGCAAAAGAAGAAGAAAAAGGAAAAAAAGAAGCAGCTGTTGGGCTGGGGATGTGGCTCAAGCGGTAGCGCGCTCGCCTGGCATGCGTGCGGCCGGGGTTCAAGCCTCAGCACCACATACAAACAAAGATGTTGTGTCTGCCGAGAACTAAAAAAATAAATATTAAAATTATTTCTCTCTCTCTCTCTAAAAAAAAGAAGAAGAAGAAGCAGCTGTCACAGGCTTCATGGTAGAAATTACAAGTAGATTAGGGCATCTAGAATAAGCGTATTAGAAGATTCTCTGCACATTCATCTTATGTAGCCAATATCTCAAAATTCTAAACCAGTGAACTTCAGTTCTTCACCAAATGGGCTGAACTTCCTACTGCAGATATAACTTCTCTTGCTCATTTCTAGAGAGGTGTCCAGAAGTTCCATGTTACCAAATTGATCCCAGGTATACAGACCTGATCATCTCTACCCTCTTGTGACCTGAGGTGAGGCCTTAGAAAAGAAGGAGGAGCTGAGGCACATTTTCTGACCACTTTCTGCAGGCAGACATAGTGCCAAGTGCTTCCACATGTGTGGTTTTCAGAAACTGACTATTTTTTTAGAACAGTTTTAGGTTTATAGCAAAATTCAGGGGAAGGTGTACAGATTTCCCATATGTCCCCCTCCTGCCTCCACACATGCACCCCTCCCCCAGCTATCAGCATCCCCCACCGAGTGATATGATTGTTACCATTGATGGGCCTTCATTGACACCTGGATGGTATGTAGATCTTAGTTCCAGCCCATGTCCCCCACCTCCAGAAGAGTGTCAGGGATGCAGGCAACTCCACTTGGCAGGGATCATAACCTGACCTTACTCTCTGGTTTTGCTGCTTGAGAAATTCCCTTCTGTGATTGATTGGCTAAAAAAAATAATAATTGATGCAGAACCAGGGGGAGGCAGAACTCTGAGTACCACTGAGTAATATCTTCTCTGTTCATCTTTGCAGTGGGGATTTCTGAACCCAAAGCATCAAATCTGTGTGGGAATCGAGCATATGGAAAATCGCTGGTAAGTAAAAAATAAGCCTGGTTAGTTAGAGCTGCTGTGTTTTAAACTTCTCACTATCTCTGTTTCTCCTGAGCCATGAAGAGAGACTAAGTGTCCTTTGCCCAGGCCTGAGGATTATTAGAAAAGCGGAATTTCGGTCTTTGCTCCTAAAGGCTATTAATTGACTTTGCTTTGTGTGCCTGTGTCACATCACTGACTGCTTCTCTTTTCGTCAAGAAATTCAGTTCTTAGGGAATCAGAAGCTGTGACCCAGCTGTGACCAGCTGTGATGGAAACTGGCTTTTAGCATAAGCCCCACCAGATGAACATAGCTAAGTGGCAGGTGCAGCAAGAAGGGTAAAGAGATATAAGGTTCTCAAACACCACAAAAAACACAAAACCCTAGTGTCTTAGTCAGTTTTCATTGCTATAACAAAATAGCATGGACTTAGGGGGTGAAACAACTCTTCCTCACATTTCTGGAGGCTGGAAAATCCAAGATCAGGTGTCAGCAGATTCAGGTTGTGGTGAGGGCCCTCTTCCCAGAGTAAAGATAGCTGCCTTCTGGCTATGTGCTCACACAGCCTTTCCTCTGTGAATGTTTGGAGACAGATCTCTGGAATCTCCTTTTCTTCTTATAAGGGTTCTAATGCCTCCATCGGCACTCTACCCTGATGATTTCATTTAAGCCTGATCACCCCTCATACTCTCCACCTTCCCATATCATTACATTGGAGTTTAGGCTTCAGTGTGAAAGAAACAGCCCACAACAACCAGCCATCTCAGTATAGAGACTTCTGAGGCATCTGCTAGAGGTCAAGTTCTCTCAAAGCACACTCTGGGATTTGGAGTTTGAAGTGCAAGATGCATATTAGGAATGAGTAACAGGTGTAAGGAGGCAGGGTTTAGTGGAGGGAGTGGCTGAACCATGATGCAAATCCAACATCTCCTGTCGGGGAACTCTAGGATAAGTATTCCCCAACCAGGTCAATCTGAATTGAGCCAGAATTGTCAAGCTTTTATGGCCCCTCTTCCCTCCACCTCAGCATAGCATGTGGGTTGCCCCTTGGGCAAGGTGACCCTTTGCAGCTGAGGCACACTTAAAGAAGCTAAGAGCCTTCATATTCACCCTCTGTCCTTCCTTGAAAGGGAATCAGGTGGTACATCTCCACATCTATCTCTTCTCCTATGTCACCTTCTGGGCTTGAAAGTTGGGTTCCCTCTGGTTTTGCAGGGTCAGCAGTGACTGGAGTTGAGGTCAGATCTGGCACCCCAGGCCCTTTCAGTGTCAGCTCCCAAGATGTATAGATGGTACAATGTGAGAATTCAAAGAGACCCCTGAGGTTGTCTGGCCAGCCCCTCCTCTCTATGGAACAAATTGGACAGAGATGTGGGTACACCGCTCTTGGTCTGGGCAGGATACCTAATCCAGGGATCTGATTTAAGTCATCAGTGTACTAGGAAAACCACACAAAGGAGAGGAGGGGAAAGTTGTTGTCAGGTTGCAGGAGGGTTTCTCCAAACTTAAACTCATGGGAAAGTGGGGTGACCAGGCAGTTGATGCCTTAGGTTGTGACAGAACAGCTACCCTTGGCTGAGCTGGATCAAGGTTAAGGGAAAAGTGAGTAGCTCATGACCTTGGATTACCTGCCCCCAGGCTTTCGGGTAGGCTCAGACAGCACCCTTGGCAGAGAAGCAGCTGCAATAACTGGCCAGAGGGAGCTGGGGTGGTATAGAGTAGTGATAGGTATGAAGTGATAGTGATGAAGAGGAGGAAGAGGCAGCATTTTCTACAGGCCTGGAAACAGTAAGGCTGAGTCCCACAGTTCATTACCCTAGGGCAGGAGAGCAATCTAGAACCCACACAATTAAATCTGATTCAATACAGACATGCACTGGGTGAGATGGGACCAAGGAAAGAGGGGGAAAGGAGTGTGAACAAAGGCCTTTCCTCCAAAGCTAAGGAGCGGTGGGTGAACATTCGCAGGGCCACTGGCACCAAGGGGAGGATGTGCTTGGGAGGGACCACAAGGTGGCACAGTAACTCTGCCTACAACCTTTGGCCAGCTCAGGCGAGAAGGAGGTGGCAAACAGCAGTGCCCTTGACCTGGAATTTCCCAGTGATTTCAGGAATGTGATGACTTGAAGCCTTTGATCTGGCTTGGGGTGGAAGAACAAAGCATAATGTGTGTCCTTTGACAAGCAACCTCTGGACTTAGCTCTGGTTAGGCCATCAGTTAATTTTCAATTCAGTACATGCTCCTTGGGTCCTTACCACCTCCTGTAGAAGGGCTGAGAGGGGCTAACCAAATAGGTTAAGTCCCAGACTCTGCCACTCACCTGTCAATCTTTCTATAGACTAAGAGACTGGACAAATATATGAAGCAAATAGAGAATCTTAAAACCAGAGTGGGTGGGATGCCATAATGTGTCACATAGACAGTGCTCTGGAGACTTGGAGACAGAGAAAGAGCCGCTTGGTCCACCAGGCTGAAGGAAGTCTTCCTGGAAAAAGTTGCCTTGAAGGACAGGCAGAGATGAGACCTTGATCCAGAGAGTGAAGGAAAAGATACAGAGCTGTGAATAGCATTAAGGAATGCAGGTCTACTCCTGCTGGAACAGGAAGTGGACCTAATGACACACATGGGGAATAGCAGAAGGCTGAGCTGCCATAGATAGGGTTGAATCCAGTGTTGTGGAACCTTCCAGAAACGGCTTCAGAGTTGGCCTCAGTCTGCCCGCTGTGGAAAGTCCTGGCGATTTCAGGATGTAGGGAAGGTCTGATTAACAAACCAGGAGATCTGAGGTAACTGTCCCTTGGAGGCTGCAGCAGAGCAATTGGAGAGGCTGACTGTAGTGTAGGCAGCTTGACAACCAACACAGATGATGTTGGTGGGAGGGTGACAGCTCTCATGTAAGACTGAGCGGCACTCAATTGAGAGACACTCAAGTGTCTCTAGTCCAGTTCTGAAAGTGGGATCCCAGGACCAGCAGCATCTGGGAGACTGTTTGCAATGCTGATGCTCAGGCACCTATCAGATCTGCTGAATCAGACTTTAGAGGTAGAGCCCAGCTCAGTTATCACAAGGCTTTTTAGGGCTAATACTGGACAAGGGTAAAAAGACAGCTATTGCCCAGGTAGGTGGTAGTTCCCAGGGTGGAACATGGACACTACTCAATTCCCTCTCCTTTCCTCACAACACAGATTCCTCCAGTGGCCCGGATCTCAGTGAAATCTCCGGCTGCAGCAGAGGTGGCAGCCACAGGCTCAGAGAACGGAGCTGTTCTGGGGAGAGGGTAAGTATGGTGCCTTCCAGCCCTGCCAGGTGCAGGGCTCCCCACCCCGTCTTGGTCTTGTGCAGGAGAGTAACAGGTGGTCTGGTTTTCAGGCTCTCAAAATACTAAAACAAAACCCATGCCAGCTGTAGATTACCTTGTAATGAGGGACATAATCCTGGGTCTGGGTAGCGCCTCATCAACTGTTTCCCTGAGATTAAGCCGAAATGTTTTTCATGGTTTCCACTTCATTAACACCAGTCTTTAGGCTTAAAGAATTGTCACTTGGGAGGGTTTTTGGTTAATTAGATGAATGTAATTGCAAGCCATACTCAGAACCTCCTGTTTACCCAATGATGTCAGAAATGCCTCATGAATTCATTTAGGGGCCCCTGCCCACAGGTAAAGAAATTTATAAAATACTGTGATTTCAAACCAAACTATAACCCCAGTGATCCTGTTAACTCTAATCCAGAGCCAGCAGCTAGGGTAATAGGAGTGGCTTTTCCTCCAATGCCTCCTCACTGCCTTCAGTGCATGAAGACAGCAAGAATCTGCAATTCATCTGCTTTCTAGCCTAGCAGTTCCACTCACTCCAACTTCAGGCAAGTTATTCTGCCCTCTACACCCTCATCTATTTAAAAACAAGCAGAAAAACAGGAAAGACAGGAATACCCATCCAGAGTGCTTATTGAGAGAGCTGAATGAAATCATGTGCTGAGAGTTTAGCTCAAACTGCTGTTAACATTGTTCAAGAAACTTCCAACCAATAGTTGGGAAGCCATGTTCTTGGGAAAGTGTTCAGCACACATCCAAAAGACCACGTGTGAAAATATTGTCTTAGTCCATTAATTATTATTATTATTATTATTGCTACTAATAACACAATATTGCAGACTGGTTAAGTTATAAAGAAAATAGCCATTTGGTTCATGGCATTAGCCAAGGTCAAGAGGCTGCCTCTGATGGCTTTTTGGCTGGCAGAGCCCCTGGCAATAAGATATCATATGGCTAGAGATAGGGAATGTAGAAGAGACCTAGCCAAATTTTTTTTAAAATATTTTTTTAGTTGCTGATGGACCTTTATTTCACTTATTTGTATGTGGTGCTGAGAACTGAACCCAGTGCCTCACAAATACTAGGCAAGCGCTTTTCCACTGAGCTACAACCCCAGCCCATCAAATTGTTTTTCTGGCACACCTAATCCAGAGATAACCCATTAATTGCAAGAATGAATTAATCCTGAAGGCAGAGCCCTAATTACCTCTTTAAAGTATTGCCTACCCCATCTCTTAATGTCTTTTTTTCCTTGTGCTTTTTTTTTATTAAATTATTTATTCTAGTTTGTTATACATGATGGTAGAATGTAATTCATTTCATATTACACATATAGAGCACAATTTTTCAAGTCACTGGTTGTACACAAAGTATTTTCACACTATTCGAAGTTTCTGTATCCATTCATCTACTGAAAGGCATCTGGGTTGGTTCCACAATTTAGCTATTGTGAATTGGGCTGCTATAAACATTGATGTGGCTGTGTCCCTGTAGTATGCTGTTATTAAGTCCTTTGGGTATAAACTGAGGAATTGGCTAGCCGGGTCAAATGATAGTTCCATTCCAAGGTTTCCAAGGAATCTCCATACTGTTTTCCAGATTGGCTGCACCAATTTGCAGTCCCACCAGCAGTGTATGAGTGTGCCTTTTTCCCCACACATCCTCGCCAACACTTGTTGTTTGTCTTCATAATAGCTGCCATCCTGACTGGAGTGAGATGAAATGTTAGAGTAGTTTTAGTTTGCATTTCTCTAATTGCTAGAGATGTTGAACATTTTTTCATATGCTTGTTGATTGATTGTATATCCTCTTCTGAGAAGGGTCTTAATGTCTAATAATGGGGATTAAATTTTAACATGATTTTTGGGAGGAAACAACCCATATTTAAATATAAATTATAAAAGCCAAATCATAGCCAGGTACACGCCTGTAATCCCAGCAAGTTGGGAGGATGAGGCAGAAAGATCACAAGTTTGAGGCCAGCCTCCACAATTCTGTGAGACCCTGTCTCAAAATAAAAAAATAAATAAATAAAAAGGGCTGAGGGTGTGACTCAGTGGTAGAGTACCATGGATTCAATCCTTAGTTTAAAAAAAAAAAATAAAAGCTATGTGTCATTCAATGTATTGCGACTTAACTGGAGAAAAGTTTAAAAAAATATCATCATTTGGCTTGTATTACTTTCTCATTTACAAATCCTTCTAAGTGGTGATAGCTGTTGCTAACAGCTGAGTTTGAGTAGACCAGCACAAACTTCACTGTGCCTTAACAGAGGTCAACTTTCAGGTCCACATAGCTGCATGGCAAAGGGTTCTCAAATGACTCTTTCTCTCAACTCAGTTATTCTCATTCCTGGACCTCAGTGTTGAAAAGACTTCTATTTTTTGCCTAAAAGGAGCACCTCAGGAGATGCACATTTATTGAAGGTCTACAACATGCACGCACAGGGATGCTTAATCACCTCATTTTCCTCTCCACAAACGCCCTAGGAATTATCCCCACTTTGCATATGAAGAAACAGGCTGATAAAGGTTCAGTCACTTGCTTGAGTCCCCTAGTAAGTGGAAAGTAGGATTCAACCCCGAGGCAAACACTCTTTCAGTGGCTGATGCTTTGGGGAATTTGCCCTTTTCTCAAGATTTCTCATGTGGAGGTGGGAAGGATGGGAAAATGGAGGTTTTACAAGGTCAGGCCCCAAAGATGGGGACAGGAGCAGAACATGAGATCCCATGACTCACTGTGCCCAGAATCATGTCCTCCTCATACCCTATAGGAGCCTCCCCATGGGGGATATTTTCTTGTGGGTCTCCCCCCAAAAACCCTTCAGCTCTGCAGAGCCTAATCACAGGATGGAGAAGCAGAGGAGGAGAGTGTCTGGTTCAGTGAAGTGATTACCTTACCCACCCCTGGCTTTTCTTTAGATCCAGACATCTCAAGAAGATGATGGAAGAGTATCCAACTCTCCCCCAGGGTGCAGAGGCTTCCCTGCCACTGACAGGCAGTGCTTCCTGCGGTGTCCCTGGCATCCTCCGGAAAATGTGGACCAGGCACAAGAAGAAGTCTGAATATGTGGGAGCCACCAACAGCGCCTTCGAGGCTGACTAGAGGTGACCCTTCCCAGGTGCCTTGCATTGGCCGAGGTTCACAGGACAGAGAAGAAAACTTGAGGATTGGGACTGAGCCACACTCACCTGTGCTAGTAGCTGGTCCAAACATCATCCTCCCTCACTGGCCAATCACCCAGCTTAGGGTGTGGAAAAGGAACGGTCCCTTGAAGGCAAAATAAAACTGTGGGTCTGAAAGTTACTTTGGGAGGTCATAAAGTTTATATCCCTATCTTTAGGCATAACTATACCAAAAGCAAACTTTGCCAGCCCATTTAAAAAATCTACAGGGGAGAACAAAGGCAATCCCTCTGTCTTCCTCGTGGGTTTTTCCAAAATGTATAATTTCTGGCATGAATGTAAAAGCTTGACCTTTGAGGGGTTTGTAAACCCCATGGTTCTCACTCTTCCCATTTCATGTTTATTTCACCTTGATGAGGTACAAATTCTAAGGACAAAGCACTATGTATCTACTTAATACTTCTAATATCTACCTGACAGTATCATCAAGATCATTTCTGATGGTCATTTGGCATGATTGCATGACTTCTCTGTTCTTTTATGTGCAGTTTTTTTTCTATAGAAAAACATTAAAATTAAATGTTAATGTTTTCTTAAGTGGCATAATCTAGTAGAATTGATAATACCTTGCTTTGGTCCAATGATTGTAACTTTTGAAAGTACTTTCCCATCCGTTATCTCTTCTTATCACAAAGCCCCAGTTGGAAAAAAAAAAATGATTCCCAGTCTATAGATAGGGAAATCAAGGCCTCCCCTGGTTATGTGAAGTGGTAGGATCAGATCCTCAAATTCCCTCAGCAGATTCCCTGCTGTGCTTACTCTAACAACTGATTCGAGGAACTTTTTAAATGATAGGCACGTGTCTCTGGGAACAACCATGATAAAGTTAGAACATGTAAGTGATCTGAATGAATTAGACCATTGCATATTGGACTGAACCAGGGGACATTGCCATTTCTATTGGTCAAAACAATTGAATATCCATGTGGTTTAACCTAATATATAATATTATGCTTTCCTCTATCAATGGAAATGTCATCACCAATTCCATTTTCAACATCAATAGCCTTAAAATGATCACATAATAGCAATGGTAATAATAATTATCATTTATTAAATGCCTACTATGTGCCAGGCATGATACTGAGCACTTTATAGAAATTATCCTAATCTTTCTAACAACCAAATTAGATGGCTTTATCCATTTCATATGTAGATGCCAGTTCAAAAATGTTAAATGATTATTCTGAAGGCACCTAACATACATGGGTGTCCAGCTTCAATGCCTGTGTTATACATACTCCTTCACATGAAAGAGTTCAGAACATAGAGAAGGACTAGGGTTAGTAATGAGTTTTTGTCTCAAGCATTAAAGCTAATGGATTGGTAGAGGCTGCCTAGAGTGTGTGGAGAAGGGATTTGAATTGAAAGAGTCAGTGATGGATGAGTGATGCCTTGCCCGCGGAGGGGATTAGTGACAGGCCTTGAATAGTCCTCATCTGTGACCTGAACTCTGCCTCCAGAAGGCTTGTTTTCTAATTAAGAGGTTTAAATTAACTCAACCTATTTAATGAAATCAGAAATTCTGTAGTTAAAATTTAGCCTATGACTGTGTTGGAAATTGCTATGTCTTTTGTACAAACTAGAGTGTGACCATTCTACATCTCAGACTCAAAGGATATTTCTGACTGTTGCACTGTGGTAACATCTTGCTTTGTGCTCTTTGAATTTCCTGTTTCTGTATCTCCAGGTAAATTCCCAGAGGTGTGGTGGTGGGTAAGAGGCCTGGGCTTCTGGGCTTTCACCTTGCTGATCTCTGCCTTCAGCCATTGTGCTAGACTCAAGTACCTGATCCTGGCACCCAACATGATTTGGAAACTCGTGCTCAAGGGCTTTTTCACCAAGGGGCTATCCCAATGAACTGTCCAATGTCTTATACAGCGTAGAAACTGGGGTCCAGAACAAAATTAGGGAACAAACAGGTAATCTTGCTGGACCACATAGAGTTTCTTATGACTATTTATTTTAACTTATTTAATTTATAACTGATGTCTTTTATTTGTATGTGGCAGCTGAAGATCTATGTAGGATGGAATTAACTTATTTATTTTTAATTTAAATATTTCACGGTGAAGTGTTTGCCTTGTATAGAACATTTGGCGAGTTCAAATAAAAATAAAGTGTGCTTTGTGACATTAATAAACCACCAAAAGAGTGTGTCTGAGGCTCCCTCATTGAACAGGAGGAAGATTTTTCACAAAGGAAAAAAATTATATATCTAGACATCACGGGCTCTTTGAAATGAGAGGGATCATTTTTTTTATATAAAATACAAATAAATGAAAGGGATGGTAAGAAAGAATCTAGCATGTTCTTTCCACCCTACAGCAATGTCTGGTTTTGATATTACAGGCCATGCCCAGCAGTTAACACCAGGGCCTCTATTGATGAGACCCTGACTAGATGACCTAACCTCTTGGGGTCTCTCTGTCCTTCCTGCTAATATGATCCCTCAGTTCCCACCACAAACATTAGGGGATCCAGTGGCCATCCCCAGCCTGCTGGCCTCTCACCCCTGATCAGGGAAGATACTGTGTGCCCACCATGTTCAGCCTCACTGGAGACTACCCCCATGACTCATATCACAGCCACTTGCAGAAGGACTCCAAGGCTTGCTGCAGACGGCTGTCCGGGAATGACCAAGCCTGGAGTCTTCTCATGCCAGAGGCAACAGGGTTTCCAGGACATTTAGGGTAATAACATTGCCTCTGTTAGGATCAGGGCCAGTCAAATATTTCAGTTCTTACTTAAGAGCTCTCTGGCGATTTCCCCCACCCTACCCAGCACCAAGGTTGCCTGTAGAACCAGCAGATGGGCAGTGGGTAGGAAAAGCAGCACCAGCCAGAGCCCAATTTTAAAAGGAATCTTGTGACACGTTGTCTCTGACACTAAATTGGCAGAGACCGAAGGACAAGCAAGGAAAAATACAGGCAAAGATGACTCTCCAAAGGATTAGAATTTGCATTTTGTTTTTTAATTTCTTATCACAAAGTCAGCCTGCTCCGTGAGGTTTGTGGCAAATGCATCACTATGATGCACAGGGAAAAAGATCTTGCTCTGCAGGCCAGGCCACTTGCCTCAACACTTAATTTTTCATTTTGTCACATTGGACCTGGGACAAGGCTCACGCCTATCATTTCCCTTTGTTGGGAGGAAGCACGAAGATTGGGTAATGGCAGCTAAAGAAACTTGACACTTGGTGCTATCATGGACATGGTAGCTGAGCCTGTGCCAGCCTCATTCCTGTTCCCTTTGGGGGGGTCTGTAGAGAAGCCAAGCTGAGAGGCTTGTAGAGTCCCACATCACAGACACTCCCCATAACCCTCTTGGAGACCCAAATGCTATGTCTCCAGTTCTGGGCTGACCCAGAGAAGAACAGTTGCCATGAGTCTAATCCTCCTTTCCAAGTGATCAGTTTTATTTGTGAACCTGAGGGGCCTGGGCTTTCCCAGAAGGACAGGTGATCTGGATCTTGCCTGGCCCCTATTAGGCAGGGGTACCCAAAGTTAGGAGCAAATGCTGGCCAACGTTTGGGGTTCCATCCACACAGAAGCAAACTGAAATTCCGATTTAGCCCCAGGAACCCCTGGCATTCTTCTGGAAAAGACCCCACTTCAAAGACCCACTTTGCTGATGTCAGACTCTACTGAGCTAAGGATTCTACCTAGCCAGGCAACTGAGTGATTGGCAGGCGGGTGGGGGAACAACAGTTCAGCAGCAGCTCCTGATGAGTAAGCACAGCCATTTCGAAAATCACAGATGCCACATGGAGTGCTCCAAGGGTAACAATGTTCAGATAAAGGGCAAGCGGCAATGTGAACTACGAAAATCATCTCTTGGTGTCATTCAGGACACTAGTTCTGGCCACAGCAAAACTGTGGGTGAGGGCCAGCTTGCTCTCTGTTTCTCAGTCCCTCCCTGTCAATCCCCCCACCCACCCACCATCTTCCTAGTCAAACACACATACACACATCCCTACCTCTTCTGTTCCTTTTTCTATTTTTCCCCACACTCTGTACCTTGAACTCTGGTGGGACCTAAGCCCTCACACTGTCCTCTGGCCACCAGGAATCCCACATCCTCCCTCCACTTATGGCCTTTTGTCTTTGGTGCACCATGATCTAAAGCCCTGATTGCCAGAAACACTGGCTGTGAGGGCTTGAGATGCTATGGAACCTCACAGAGACTTAGTTTCCTCAGCACTTGAAAAAGAAAACGTCATACCTTCCTCCAAAATCCTAGAGAAGATTGAAGATATCGGCTGACATGTAGCTGATAGGCACCAGTGTGGCTGCACAGTTATGAAAGCGCAGGGGTATTCCACACTGGTGAGCAAGGGCCAATGCCCAGAGCACCTTGAAGCACATCCTCCCCCCACTTCATCCCTGTTGGCCCTGGTTGCCCCACCCCTCCCTGAGCCTCTCACCAACCTCCCCATGGACCAGCAGTTGTGGGTAATGCCTGGCACAGTGGAAGGGAGAGGCGCCAGGACCTGCTCCACGTAATGGCCTGCAATTATCCTCACTGGTCCTTGGCCTATGCTCTGCCAGTTGTTAAAAATCTCGACTGTCCTCTTGAAGACATGTTTGAACGTGCCTGTCATGTAAGCTCAAGTAGAGACCACATGAATGTAAGGTGGCCGGATTATCAGTCATTTATACCTGAGTGGAAGTAGATGGAGAATGGAAATGAGGTTTCCTCATGTGTTGGAAGGGAGGGTGAATGGAAGGGTGAAAGATCCCCTGGTAGGACACGGCAGCCTACTTCCTCCACTTAGTCTAGAGATTGACTTCTCCCCAGCATTTAAATTCTTTGGATTCAAAGTACAACACTCCCAGAAGCAAATGTCCTCTGTAAAGAAGATAGAAAATAGCCCTGACAGGTGGTCCTACAGGTGTCTGCACTCCTCAGCCCAATAACCATGAGCCCCCTGGAGAGTATAGAGGTGGGGAAGCCTGGGACAGAGACCCAGCCCCACATTTATTGTACAGAGAGTTTCATTGGTCAATGTGCTTGAAGTTCTTTGAGCCTCTATTTTGCCTCATCTGTGAACACGAATTAAATGACCTGCCCAGTCAACCTCACAAGCTGATGAAAGATCACAGGAGAGCTAGTACATAACAGGGCTTTGTAAATTGTGAATTGCTCTTCTAACATATGGTGTTATGATTACCCACTCCATTCAGAAAGAAGCAGAACTGGGCGTGGGGAGAAGTGACTCAGGCAGCTCAAGTCAGGAGTGAGGGCTGAAGAGCTAGTCAGGAACTGAAAATAGAATCATCTTCAGAGCTCAGGGACCAGTCTCCTCAGTGACTGTCAGGCAGAGCCTCCAGGCTACTGGTGTGGCATGTGGAGCTGATGCCTGAAGCCTGAGGTGGCCACATGCCCTGCCAGGTTGGTTCAGGTCAGTGGCCCTCAGCTCACAAGCAACAAGTGGAGGGTGGTAACTGCTCGTTTGAATTCAAAAAACTCTCTCTCCAGGAGCTGCCTGCTTGCTGCCAAGGACTGCCCTTGGCATCTTGCCTGCATTCCCTACTGGCAAAATTAGCCCTCAGATGAAACCGACAAAGCACATTAGCCCAGGAGACCAGAAGCCCTGCCTGCATGCTCCCATCCCAAAAGAAGGAAGCCAGCTCCTGCCCCTCTTGCCTCACCCATGCTCTAGCCCCTCCATTCCAAGGCAGGTGACAGAGCCAGGTACCCACAGGACTGAAGCACTGCTGAGGGATGGGGTCTGGTGGAGACCCGTCTGCTTGGGTGTAACTAGGCAGATATCGGCTGTTTCACAAACAAACACTCCTCCAAGGCATTCTTGCTGCTTGCTCAGGCCAAGGAAAGCAAGGTAATAACTCAAGGAACAGTGACCTCACCAGGAAAGCAGGCTTTGCAGTCTCATACCCAAGTCCCATATCCCCAAATAACCCAGGAGAAGTCATGTGTCATGAAGAAAAAAAAAAAAATCCCCAGGAAGCACTTCCCTACAGGAGGAGCAGGTGCCAAAGTAGAAGCAGACTGGTAGCAGGCACAGAGCTCCCTACCCCCTGCAGTCTAGAAAGAACACCCTCCCAGGAGTGAGGGATAGGAGGTGGAGGGGCTTTCAGCCTCAGGGATCTGCCCTCTGCCACCACATAAAGAAACCAGAACAAAAGCAGAACTGTTTGTTATCTGGGCTCTCCAGAGCCTGACCAGGCTCCCGTTCCAGCAGACTGCCTCACAGCCCTGGGAGTTGGGTGCTGCCACAGAACCACATTTCCCCATCTGCTCTTGTTCTTCCTCAGGATGTGGTGGAAGCTGGAGATTAGGAAGGAAGTAGGAAGTAGGGAGGAGAACAGATGCCTGAAAGTTCTGCCTATTTATTCCTTGTCTTTCTAGCCCAAGAAGCAGGAGGGTAGAAAGCCATCCCCAGGCTCTGAATGGATAGATTGACCCCCTTCCTCCCTAGGCATCCAGGGCTGGGTGCCAGGGTCTGCCTGAACTCTCAGCTTAACCCTACATGTCTTCCTGGGCCCAACAGTTGGCGTATGGAAGCCTGCTATACTTTAAGACGCATGCAATTGTGTTAACAGGGATTTACATTCATTTTTTGATGTGCCAGGCACCGTGCTAAGTGTCTCAAATGCACTAGCTTATAAAAACCTCTGAACACCACCATGAGATTGGTTCTTCCATTTCCCTTACTGATGATTGGAAGGGTGGGAACTTCTTCAGTGTTCCTGACCAGAACCACAGCTCAATTTCAGAGACAAAATATTGCCTGTGGCTCCAGGGAGGCAGGAGGCCAAAGCAGGCCCTCAGCCAGCCCATTACTCAGCAGGTGAGCTGATTGCGAAAGACAGCGGCTCAGTTGTCTTCCCAGTGTCCAGGGCAACAGCACAAACAGTGTGCAGCCGCACAGGTCAATGCCCTGGCCTCCCTCGTGTAAAATCCCCTGTGGCATGTGTAGTGGGAGGGGGCAAGGCACAGGAAAAACAGGTAGGATTTTTGATGTGAGAACATTTCTCCAGCCTGGAGATGTTTCTAGTCTCCTTACTTTGCCTGCAATGCAATAAATAAAACCTCAGGCCTAATTCCCACCCACAAGCTTCTTTTAGGGCTGGGGACCTCCAGAAGAAGAAATCCTCCTCCGGCACAAAACCTGAATTTGTGACAAGGATTTCAG